CAAGCCAGTAGGAACCATGGATGACCTAATCGCCAGACACTACAACTTCACTGGGAAATTTCGCAAGGTCAACAAGGACCCGGGACTCAGAGCGGACTCTGTCGTGTTCATCATCGTGTGCTGCTTTATAATCCTGGAAAATGTTCTGGTTCTCCTCACCATTTGGAGGACCAAGAAGTTCCACAAGCCCATGTACTACTTCATCGGGAACTTGGCCTTGTCAGACTTGCTGGCCGGGGTGGTGTACACTGCGAACATCTTGCTGTCGGGAGCCAACACGTATAGGCTGACCCCGACGCAGTGGTTCTTCAGGGAAGGGAGTATGTTTGTGGCTCTGGCCGCTTCGGTGTTCAGTCTCTTGGCCATTGCTATCGAGCGACACCTGACCATGCTGAAGATGAAGCTTCACAACAATGGTAAGACAGGCCGGGTCTTCATGCTCATCAGCACTGTGTGGTTCATCGCTGCCATCTTGGGCGGTTTACCAATCATGGGTTGGAACTGCATCGAGAGCATGAACAACTGCTCCACAGTTTTGCCACTCTACCACAAGACCTACATCCTCTTCTGCACCACCGTATTCAGTGTCATCCTCATGGCCATTGTCATCCTGTACGCCCGCATCTACGCCCTGGTCCGCACGCGGAGCCGCAAGCTGGTCTTCCGCAAGGTCGCCAATGGCCGCTGCAGCAACAAGAGTTCGGAGAAGTCCATGGCCCTCTTGAAGACCGTCATTATCGTGTTGAGCTGCTTCATCGCGTGTTGGGCGCCGCTCTTCATCCTGCTTCTGCTTGATGTTGCCTGCCAGATCCGCACTTGCCCGATCCTCTACAAGGCCGAGTGGTTCCTGGCTCTGGCTGTGCTCAACTCCGCCATGAACCCTCTGATATACACCCTGACCAGCAATGAGATGCGCCGGGCCTTCATCAAGATGCTCAACTGCTGCGCCTGCGACCAAGCGGTGGGCAAGTTCTCCAGGCCCATCATGGGCGCCGAGTTCAGCAGGAGCAAGTCGGACAACTCCTCCCACCCCAATAAGGACGAGCCTGAATACTCGCCTAGGGAAACCATAGTGTCTTCTGGGAATATCACCTCTTCTTCTTAAAGGGACTTTTGGTGTACATTTATGTCTCGATTGTGTGTGCAAGTGAGTGTGTTCGTTTGGCATCCTCATTGTTTGTGATTCTTAACAGTAGCGGAAGGCTGGGAGAAACCAGGATTTGTTGGAAGTCTTGGCATGTGCTTACATTAAAGACTTCGTCTTCTGCTATTCCTGACAGATCGCCAGAACGTTTTTGCAACTTAGGGAAGCACATAACCAACCATTATTCAGTCTTTTTTTCATCCCTGTCAAATGGAAACCTGTAGACAAGCACTTTTTAGGGAATTGCTCCTTGAGAACCAACATAGGCATTACTGACTCGGTCTAAAATGGATTGATGTGAGAAATACTAGCTTGTTATGGTTGTTTGTACTACATTTTTGGAATTAAATTGAAGAAATACAGTCGAGAGGTACTTGTGTTTCTTGTGTTTCTTTAAGTTAACACTATGGTATTAGGATGTTATTTTGCCCCTGATCCAGAATGTATTTTGTAAATGAATTTTTCTTCTTCACCTTTCAACAAATAAACTGTTGTTGTAGAAGAGTGTGCATGTACATTAGCTGTCAATATTAATTTATCTTGAAACAGTTCCAATAAATTTGAAACTTGGAGGGATGGAACTAAGTGTTGTGTTAATTAATTGTAAATATATTTTATTATTTTACTTTGATAGTACGCCGTGTATCATATCTCGTGGACAATGGTCTGCTCTTGCGCCCATCAGGGGTAGTTTTGTCTTTGCTGGGTTGCATGGCTCAACTCTAATGAAGTTAATTTGATGGGATGGAAATATCTGGGGAATTTAAGATTAATGTCTATGTGAATTTTCTGTTGGCTTGTCACATTACAACACAATTAATGTACACGCTTGTATTTATCTGTTCCTCATACATAAAATCAAATCATGAGCCAGTTTTATCCCTGTTCAGTGTTGCACATTGTAACATCTAGTCCATGTGTTTTTGTTCTTTTAGTTGTTAATAAATATTGTTGAAGAAAAAGCAATCAAAGTTGTGATTTGATTTAATTAAAAACTCTTATTTAAATGTTTTGCTTAGTATTTAGAATTGGGTCCAAAATTTGGAGACCATATCGAAAATCTGCAATGCAGAAGCAAATTTCAAAATTAAAACCTAAAAATTAATTTAAAAAACTGTATGGACAAAAAGTCTGATGTTTTTTCATTGAAGTTCAAGATGCAAACCCCATCTGCTTAAGTGCTGCTGTCATTAGAGAAAATAGAGACATACTAAAAATGCAGCTTAATTTTTCATGTTAATTATTTAAATAATTAATTATTAAAATCAAAGTGTTATGGTGACAATATAATTTTTTATAAAAAAAAAATTATCCCTAATTCATTTGTACATTTAGAAAAATGCAAAATAAAATCATTTTCACAAGTGGTCTCAGATTTTTGAACACCGTTGTAGCTGTAAATAGAATTACAATTAAATAATATGGTTATATAGATGCAATTAAATTATAAGGCAATTTAATAACTCCCGAAGAGCACAAAGGACAATAAGATATAATGTAAATATAATTCTGGTTTCTTCACAGTAGCAAAAAATTCTCATATATGAGCAAAGAGCGCCATTTACTGGACAACTGCTAAAATGGCTTCTTTATTAGATTTTAAGATTTTTATAAATAATAATTATAGCCTAAACCACTAATTTTTAAATATGCTTATATGTACATATTTACACTGATAATCCACATTTACATTTAAATGGATGAATTTCTGACATATTCAGTTTCATTACACCACTTCATGATACTGCTACTGTAAGCAATTTGCCTTTTAACTTTTTTTGTGTAATTACCCGGTGCATACTGTCCTTTATACATCCATAATATATATTTAAATCTAAAATCTAGATACTGTTTCAAGAAGATTCATGAATAGGTTATGAATTAATTACCCATTTAGCTTACAGACACACAAATAGGGAATGCAGTGCCGCATTAAATTGTTTCCCTAAATTATAATTATTATTAATTATTTTGTATTATTACTGTAATAAAATTAGGTTTAATTGCAGCCTATCCCTTAGGATTTGATTACTGATATATACAATTTATTTGAAACTCTGATATTCAGAAATTCATACTCTGAAATTCATAAAATCAGATGTAGAAATGATTGAAATTAACGTAACAAGTTCAATTGTGGAAACAAATTTGTTGCTATTGCTCAATGATGAATGCTATAGCTCAATGATTTTTCTTTTTTCAGAGAACCAAAGCATTACTATGACAATGTAACTACAACATGCAGTACAATAATTTGAAAACGGTTAAGGCTTCATTGTGTAAATACAATGCAAATAACGGATGGTAAGGGATGAATAACGGATAATTATGTCAGTTTGTTAGTAAAGACACATGACAATTTTTTTTTCATGGGTTCAGTTTTATTGATGTCATGGAATGGGCTGCATTGCCCTGCAACAAGAGATCCTTTTCCATTTGTTTAATTTATTCATAAAATGCAACATTAATGTAAATGTTTAAAACGGCTTACAGTATTTCAGTAAGTAAATACCTTTTTGTTTATACTCCTTCACGCATAAAATATAGGAAGAAACTGTCACCAAAAAATGCAACCAAACTCTTTACCCACTTTCACAGCGATGGTAAAGCAAAGCATCATGGGAGCGTGAGTCTATACTTGGGAATTTCTCAATTTTTGATTGCTATGGCTGTAGCGGGACAGAACTACATTTCCCAGAATGCCATTTTCTGTACATTGGCTCATGTTATACATGAGGGAATATGAGAGCGGCGGAGGAACCGAAAGCGACAGCCTGGCGATAAGTATAACATTAAATAGTGGTCGTGAAATGGGGGGAATTCAAAGCCAAATCACCCAGAACAGGCTGTCGTAAAAGGAAAATCGTATTTGGTGTTTTTTTTTTTATATATAAATTTGGCGTGGACTGGGGTAAGGCACCTCCCTGCCTGCTCTGCGCCGGGGTGTGTGCTTGTTTTTCGGGTAGGCTTCATCGCATCACCGCGCTGCAGTGTGTTACTGGAACCGAACTGAGGTGCCTCGCCGCCGGTTACAGATGCCCTGCGCCGTCGACCGATACTATGTCAAAAACAGAGAGAGACAAAGTAGCACTGCGACTCAATCCTACTGACCTATGCAATGAAAAAAATGGCAACTTTGCTCTCTAACAGCTGTGGTTTGTAGCCATAAAGAAGTGCAAGTGTGCAGAAAAATATAGTGGAGCGGTTTTTTGTGCCTGTTATTAAAAAGGTGAGGTAAAAAATGTGCATCTCACTACAAATCTAACTTTCTTGAAGATAATTGGGTCATACTTTACATTACATCGTTATTGTTGCAATGGTACTATTTAATTACGTAATTTAATGTTATCTTTCATGTTAATAATGAAATATATGTATTTATGTTGTTCATGAAGCTGTTTGTAATTGCACAATCTTGTAATTAAACCGGTTGTTGTAATTGCTGCTGTTAACCCATTAATTTAGTTATCCATCATTTAACTCTGTAGCTTTGTTACATTGTAATGCTAAGTGTTACAAACAACAGTGTCAGTTCTTATAGATTAAGTGTGTAATTTTTGCAAAATAATGTGTATATTTAAATTTACCAATCGCATCTTGCAAAGTGGACTTCACAGGACATTTGGCCACTTTAAGTCAAATTTAAGATTTCCACTGCAAACTACTTGGGGAACAAGTGTACATCAGCATATGACTTCACAGGAAGTGGAAAGGGGGTTATTTACCCACAAGGCATTTTGTACCACCTCGAATATGTCACTTCCCTACTATATAGCATGTCAAATGTACGTTGTGCCCAAATATGCAGTAATAATGAAACGGTAGGTGAAAAATATCCAAATTGACGGATTGCATCCACTGACATTGTGAGGTGTGCAGTCAGGATACTTTCCTGTCCCATAAGACCTATTAAGCTGAGGAGCTGTCAGATTTAAAAAAGCTGACAAATAAAAATAAAAATGATGAGCCATGTGGCTCTTTCCACATGTAAGTGCTATAGGTACCAAGAACGCTGGTCCCACTAGTCAATTATTTATCAAATTCAGTACATACTCTGATAGGATGGGATTTTGGACACAGAAAAAGTTTGGCTAAAAAAAATGTGATTGGCATTTTTATTCAGGCTGATGAAAAGAAGTGCTTTTTATACTGTTTTTGAGCGTGTAAAGTGATGTGATTAGCGAGGAGACATCACATTTTCATTTTAAACATCAGTTGTTTATTACTAAACTAGGTGTGTTTATTTAAATATATAATTCAGTATATAAGTACAGCATGGAGTTGTTATATACATTTATATATATATATAAAAGTATGGTAATGTATATTTATTTCTAAAATATCTACCTGACTCTAGTGTTGTCTGTGACAGTGTGACTTGAGTTTTCCATATGACCAAATTTTGTCAGGTGACGTGAACTTCTACAAATATCCCCTGTTGAGTGTGTAGGGTGCAGTGAACACTAAGTAGAGACCCTGTGAACTGGAATACAGCTAATTTCTTTTTTTTAAAACAGGTTTTTGAACACTCCCCTGTCAGCCATTGGTCGACTTAACAGTTAGTCCCACCCTAAAGTCACACCACCGAGAGACAGTGTTTACACTTTCTGTGGGAATCAGTCTACGAATGGTTTAATTATTGTTGTCTCTGTGTTTAAAGTTGGGATAGGAAGAAGTGTTTGGATTTAAAAATATATATATTTAACATTGTTTGTAAATAATGCTGATTGTTCTGTGGTGTTTTTATTAAAATAATTTTTATTGCTGACATGCTCAGAAAGTCCCACTGTAACAGTTCTAAACTTTTCTTGTTGTTTTTTTTTTTTTTATCAGCAGCTTTGAAAAGCAGCAATAGGCAGCCCGCATGGAACGAGCAGGAAGCATCCAACTTGATATTCCGGACTTCAGCAACTCCGTCCTGTCGCATCTGAACCAGTTGCGAATACAGGGCCGTCTGTGTGACATTGTGGTCAATGTTCAGGGCCACAGTTTTCGTGCCCACAAGGTGGTCCTCGCCGCCAGCTCACCCTACTTCAGGGATCACATGTCACTGAGTGAGATGAGCACCGTGTCCATATCAGTAATCCGCAACCCAACCGTGTTCGAGCAGCTCCTTTCCTTCTGCTACACGGGACGCTTGTGCTTGCAGCTCGCTGATATCATCAGCTACCTGACGGCTGCCAGCTTCCTTCAAATGCAGCACATTATTGACCGTTGCACCCAGATTTTAGAGGGAATCCACTTTAAAATCAGTCTGTCAGATGTGGAAGAGGAGATCGGGAACGGGGTCCACAGGACCGCCAACCAAACCATTGAGTCAGGAAGAGGTGGGACCGGGCTAGGTGGGTCCCGCTCCCTAAGTCCCAGACATACTAGTTCCCGATTGATTAGCAACACTGGGGTGATCAACATCCGTGATGTGAGGGAAGTCCGAGAGATCAGTCCCCCTGGGGAGTCCATGAGTCCCCAGATTGTGGAGCACAGTGGCATTGGCTCAGAGGAGGTGGGAACTGGGAAAGAGCCCATTCTCCGTATCAACCGAGCTGGGCAGTGGTATGTCGAGACGGGGACTGAGGTGGAGAGAGGAGGAGAGGAGAACGTGCGGATGGTGGATGGGTTTCGGATTAAGACGGAAAGGATGGATGAGTGGATGGGAGCGGAGACCCAGGCATCGACGGAAGAGGGCAGTGGGGCCGAGGAGGGGCCGACAGTGATGATTGACACCTCAGGACGTAGCACACTGGTGCAGGAAGGAGGAAGAGGTGGGAAAAGCTCCCAGCCGTCCAGTAGCATCAGTGAAACAGAGAGGTGTGTAAAATCTTTCTGAAGTTTACTTTCAACGCCAAAATCTTATTGAACATAATTCATCAGTTCATGTTATTCTGATGAAATTGTGTTAATTGGTCTTTTATCAAAATGTAGTGCCTTTCTCCACTTCTAAAACAAGTTTCTATTTCAGCTAATGTCACCAAGCCTTCTTACTTTTCAACCCCTTTCTTTTAACCATTTACATTATCCAATCAGTACTTGATGATACCATATTGAATAAGTATCCCATTCTATTCTGAATTGGTTGTATATTGGATGTAGTTGCAAACATCCTTTCATGTTGATTATAAAGTTTGGAAAGTCCAGGTGTGATACTTTAAAATGTGATGCATTTACCCCTTTAACCCATTTTCTTCTGCCGACAAGTGTCCTTTAAAAGATTGAACCCATACTGTGTTTTTCTTTCAGGTTTAGTCCAACAGGAAGTGTGGTTGTGATGGCTGATCACCAGAGAGCCAAGAGTGAGTCTCCAGGAAGAGTTGACGATCAGAGACACCCCACCTCACAGGTAGGGCAACCTTGATCAAGACTTGGCTCTATACACTTACAACCCTTGGTTTAACTTTTTATGATCTCTGAATACAGTTGAAGTAATTTCAAAGGAATATCAGTGGAGCACACCTTACCGAGCTAATAAGAAACTTTAAATTGCCTGCAGTTGCGTAATACTCAGAACAGTTGGTGTGCCTAACTTAGAGTGCATTTCAATTGGGAAAAGGGGTGGGAATCATGAAAACAAACCATAAACTCTCACATTTCCCTTACTAGGGAGAGGAACAAGCTGTGTTTGACATGGGGGGATATGAGGAGTACCTACGAGAACAGGTAGGTGATCGGTGGTTCCGCTACAATCCCCGTCTCACCTGCATTTACTGCTGCAAGTCCTTCAACCAGAAGGGCAGCCTAGATCGCCACATGCGCCTGCACATGGGCATTACCCCCTTTGTTTGCCGAATCTGCGGGAAGAAGTACACCCGCAAGGACCAACTCGAGTACCACATCCGTAAGCACACAGGAAATAAGCCTTTCCATTGCCACGTCTGCGGCAAGAGCTTCCCGTTCCAGGCAATCCTCAACCAGCACTTCCGCAAAAACCATCCAGGCTGCGCCCCACAGGAGGTGTCCCATAGTGCCTCGCCCGAGACTACCACGGTCACCTCCCGTGGAGGCCAAAATGAAGATGAGTCGCCCTCCCAGGAGGATGCTGAGGGCAATGGTGGAGGTGATGGCTCGTCCTTCGGAGAAGGTGTCCAACCTTCGGTATCCACCACTGGGCCCGACTGAAAAGCTTTGAAGGAAAACGTCACAAGTTTAGAGAGAGACACAGGACAGCGGGGTCCAACAGAACCTTCTCTTGAGAAATCCCTCTGTCCCTTGTCTCCCACCATCCACACTGAAATTACAAGTTGGAAGGAGTTGAGTGAGCAGGAGGTTCTCTCAGCTGCTGTCAATGAGGAACGGATAAAAAAGGAAGAGTCTTCTGTGTCCTACTTGGACGAAGATCCTCTATTTTTTCCAGTGATAACAAAGATGCAAGGAACAATTTGGTAGGAATAGTATTCTCTAGGGATTTATAAATGGTATTTCCGCTTTAAACCACATCTACCTTCACCATACAAACTGAACAGGACATCAATATATGAAGACAAGCCACACTCCAACAACCTCACACACCACTGGATGCAGTGATTTTTTTGTTTTTTTTTGTTTTTAGTCTTTCCTGTCTTTTATATGTTACTTTTTTATATTTTTGTACTACTACAGATCTTTCAGGATAAACTAAAAGAGAAGCTCTAGCTATGATTTGGTCAAATTGCGTCAAAATTGCCAAACTTTTCTGTGCCAGAAGATGAGTTATAAAAAGAGAGGACATCGTAGTCCTTTGCTACTTTGCCTTGAGACAATCTTGAGAAATTAACCTGGGGCTAGACTTTGCGCTCCCCAGCCATGGCAAGCTTAGGAAAACGGGTTCAGTTTTTTATTAGGGACCCTCAGGTCTGACCTAACATCAGATTCTTGATTTATTTTTTCGTTTTGTGTTAAGTGCCGATCCGGCCTGCCATAGAACTGAAACACATTGCTCACACTTAGCCTCAACACAAAGGAAATTGTCGTTATAGAACTTTGGGTTTATAACAAGAAAAACTTGCATCATTATTTTACTTTTAATGTTGGTGGTAATACTGTGATATAGGCACTCTGGTGAAAAGACGTTGGTAGAGTATAGCAGTGACGTATATATTTATTTCAAGTTTAGTTCCCATTAAGGCTTTCATACATCTCTGAACTCAACAACTCTGAATGTTGGCGATACAGTGATATAAAACAAGGAAGTCCTTCAACCTCAGATAAGCTACAATAGACCGCTCAGTTACCTCTCTCTCACATCACTTCGCAATACCGATCTGTCACACGCAGATGCATGGATGCACTCAGCTGAATTTTATGTTCAGTGTTTATTTCTTTTCATACGTTTTAAGTCGCTCGTTGAGATTCGCTAGTCGCACCAACTTGTTTTACTGGTCTGGCAATACTTTGTTTGTAAGAATGTGTTTGAGCAGGGGTAAGTGGTCTCTCAGAGGATGTAACCTCGCTCCTTTTTTGTGTCAAGTGAAAAGAAATGAGTCTAAGGCTGAGACGAACCAAAATGCGGACTTGGTCGTTGATGCCGTTTAGGAAAACGGAAACCGTATGTCTGTGATGACTGGGATACGCCGAAATGCCACGGAATGACTTTGAGTGTAAGATTTTCCTTCATCTGATGGAAGGCACTTTAACCTTGGGGTCAAGTTCCTTTACACTTGGCTTATGAACAGATGTTTCCAGCTGGTGCTTTCAGTAACCAAAGGAACTGAAATTTATTGTGGAAGTTCTTAAACCCTTAAGATTTGGAGGGCGAAGAGGAAAAAAAGAGATTACATCAGGCACTTAAAAAATGGGATGGGGGTGTTTTTGTTTTGTTTTTAGAATATTTGTATATCTATATACATGTCACTTATGCATATTTAGGCAAATTTATACTTATAATAACTATACAGAGACAGTTTCTAGAATGATCCACAAAAGCAAAGGTGTTTTAAGTGAAAGTAATGCTGTTATCATTTTTTTAAAGGCTGTGAATCACACTTGGTTGTGACTGATTTTTTAGGAAAGGGTCGATGCATATAAAAATCAGCTACTGATGTTTCCAATAGGGATTTTGTGCACCTCACTTAATATCAACACAGGTTAGAACTTACTTTTACCATTACTCGCATCTGTGAACACAGGTCAGCAGGTAAACACTTCTTACAAATATCAGGAACTCGCTGTTTACTTTTGGTGTTTACCTTTTTTTTTTTGGTTTGTACGAAGCGGATTTTCTTACTTAGAATTCTAGCTCTGGGTAACTTGGGTCAACATATTTCACAAGTGCAGCAAAAAGAAAAAGAAAAAGAAAAAACTACTTGCATATGAACATTTCCTCTCAATGTAAATACCCATGCCTCAGAAGTATTCACAGTGAAATACAATCCTGAAACTGTATAATTTCACGTTTGTTGTACAGCGCAGAACCCAGGTAAAAAGAAAAGCATGTTAATATTGCCTTTATATGTCACAATGCAACCTCATGATAATAGAGAAGGGCAAATGATTTTGTCTGTAAACAACATAATCATAATCTATTATGTAAAAGATGTTCTTTTTTATGGACTTTGCCTTTAAGTTTAAATTTAGGTTTGGGGCATGGGCCTGTTTTGTGTATGCCAATCATATAAGGGTGATATTGAATTAAATGATCTCTATGTGAATGAATTAATTGCAGTCTAATGACAAGTAATCAGTCATTCCAGTTATTTTACTGCACATTTTAGCAGTCTAAATTTAATCATATTAATTTGGGTTTTAGGGCTAATGATAATTTTCAGCATGTTTTCCCTTTGTGCATATCTGTTGTTGATCTTGAAAACATTGATGGTTGACCATCCTGTCTGTTCTTTTTTTATTTTAAACTATTATTCATTCAAATATTATGTTTGGCTTTTGTATTTGTTTTCAAGCTTTAAATAACATGGTGGAGGATAAATGTGTTGCTGCAGTTTATATATTAGGCTGTAATATTTAATGTTTCTGTATGACAATACATCTACTGCAGTTTAATGGTGTTGACTGAACAAGTAATTTCTAACCAAATTGTGTCTAATCTTAACACAGTGTTACAGAATATGTAGTTTCAAATGAAGCTACTTTTAAAGCAATATTTCACCCCATTTCCAATTCAGAAATTGCTTTCAGATAAAGTGGTGCAAAATTAAAACACACCATAACACACACAATATCTTTTTAAAAGTTGTGAAACTGATGACCAGTTGATTTCGACAAGAAGAAATATGTATCTTGAACTTATAAAGCAATTATACATATTGGCAAATGTGATAAAATTGGTTTCAGTGATTACATTTACCTCAGTTTTTTTTTTTTCTTTTTTTTTTTCATGGTCTGGCTTGTGAAAAGTAATGCAGTGCATGTCTCTACTTACTAGTTTTTTGTTAAGACTGAATGACAACACTGAGCCATATCTTCAGAGTTTGTTCAGTATTGTCGCAAGTCCCTCTGGAGCAAATATTTTGTACAAGCAACACATTTTATTTCAATGCAAATAGCCTACGTATATATTTCATAACTTAGTCTGTCTGAATAAGCAAGCAAACATGATTCCTTGTCAAAAAAAATTGTCAGTTGTTTTTTTTTACCTCAAAAGAGTCTTTGTACAAGGAAATAAGACATTGTATTTCTACTGACCCTCAGTAGAAATTGTTTATTTGCATGTTGTCTTTGTCTTTCGTAACGACCAAACATAAAGACATTTCCGGGCATCTAAATTTGCACCAAGAGAAGCCAAAATATTTACCTTTACAATTTGTCTTGCTATATTGTTTTATCTTGCAGAAAGCAATATAGTCTGTAAAGTTCTTTCCATCCCAGATAGCATGCGGATGTGGGCCACTTAAGGCAATGACACAGCACTGGTGGCCTTCTTATGGCCCCATACAAAATGGATGTAAGCCTGAAGTGGCCCACGTTTATCAAATCACATGTGGGCCTCTGTAGGCAAAGATGTGGTGTTCACGGCAATATGTAATCTGAATGTGACCCTAAGGTGGTCCATGTGGTAGTAGAACAGAAATAGTGAATATGGCCAAAATAGTGCCAACCAAATGTGGTCCACCTTTGGCAAAAATGTGGCACAATCGACAAAGGCTAATCAGGCTGTAAACTCAATGTGGTTCACATATGTTTCAGCAAATGTGGCCCAGGTATATTAAAACGTATCTGGGCCAGTTTTGGCAAAGATATGGCACAGTGAACTCTGGCTAATGTGGCTGTGAGGCTAAAGTGGCCCGCACATGATGCCACAAATGTGACACAGTTATCCTAAAACCTATCTGGGCCAGTTTTGGCAAAGATATGGCACGGTAAGCACTGGCTAATGTGGCTGTGAGCCTAAAGTGGCCCACATATGATGCCACAAATTTGGCCCAGTTATCCTAAACCATATCTGGGTCAGTTTTGGCAAAGATATAGAACGGTAAGCACTGGTTAATGTGGCTGTGAGCCTAAAGTGGCCCACATATGATGCCACAAATGTGGCCCAGTTATCCTAAACCGTATCTGTGCCAGTTTTGGCAAAGATATGGCACGGTAAGCACTGGCTAATGAGGCTGTGAGCTTAAAGTGGCCCGCATATGATGCCACTAATGTGGCACAGTTATCCTAAACCATATCTGGGCCAGTTTTGGCAAAGATATAGCACAGTGAGCATTGGCTAATGTGGCTGTGAGCTTAAAGTGGCCCGCATATGATGCCACTAATGTGGCACAGTTATCCTAAACCATATCTGGGCCAGTTTTGGCAAAGATATAGCACAGTGAGCATTGGCTAATGTGGCTGTGAGCTTAAAGTGGCCCGCATATGATGCCACTAATGTGGCACAGTTATCCTAAACCATATCTGGGCCAGTTTTGGCAAAGATACGGCACAGTGAGCACTGGCTAATGTGGCCGTGAGCTTAAAATGGACCACATATGATGCCACAAATGTGGCACAGTTATCCTAAACTGTATCTGGGCCAGTTTTGGCAAAGATATGGCACAGTGAGCCCTGGCTAATGTGGCTGTGAGCTTAAAGTGGCCCTTATATGATGTTGCAAAATAAAACGATAAATATTTTGGGATAAATATTGCCCAAATAATTAATAACAATTTGGGCCACTTTTGGCAAATATACGGCACAGTCAGCATTGGCTAATCAGTGTGCAAGCCAACTAGTCCCACATTTGACATGGCAAATATGCCCCATATATTATAAAACAGATGAGGATCACTTCTGGTTGTAACACTTGACAAGTGAGGCCACTTCTTGGATGTAACACTTGACACTGGCTAATTGAAATGGAAGCTTGAAATTGTAAATATGGCCTAATAGAATTTGGCTACTTTTAGTAGGATGCAACACAGTTAGCTGATGCAAGGTGATCTGGATGTGAGTCTTAAGAAGGCTACATATGCAGCAATTAATTTTTTGAAACATGCTTTTAATGGCAGTTTTTTTATATATGTACTGTGCAGCATAAAAACAGAAGTGCACTATAATGATTGTACTCTTACTGTCACGGATTCTGTTAATTTGGGCTTTGTTTTCCTTTTGCACATTTCCCTTGTTGTGTTGATTGTATTATTCTGTTCAGGTGTGCCTGGTTAATTATCCTTGTTTGGTCTGAGTACTTAAGTTCCTGTATGTTCACTTTGAGTTTGTCTGGTCTTACGTCTACATGTCTGAAATGTTGCTGTGCTACATTGTGTTCGGATTTATCCTTGTTGGATTAAAGACTTATGATATATAACCTTTCATCTTCGTCGTGCGCTCTTTAACACAGCGTAGCTATGACACTCACAGACTTATTGTGTAGGTAGAGTCTGAGTGAGAAGCATTTAAGTTCAAACTTGTGAAGAACAGTTTTTAAAGTATTGGAATGCGTCTTTGAATATTTATCTGTGACATTTTAATTGCTGCTTGTGCAAAACTTGGGTCGGGATGATTTTATCAAGTAGGACACATTTATGGAACTTATTTGAACATTTATGGAGGACATTTTTAAATGTCTCTTTACAATGTTGAGTATTGTTGATGTATAACTCACTTAAGGCTTAGTGTGGCCCAGGTAATGTATATTTATGGTTTATTTGGTTCATTAATAGCTAAAATGTGGCTGTGTAGTGGCTTGCTTGTGGACCATTGCCAAAATGCCACCATTCCATGCAGCATGTGGGCCACATGAGGAATGTGGGGAAGAATAAAAATCAACTGTGGCCCACATTAGGGCCAGTTTAGGTTTATTTGGTTGGCTTACATGTAGCAATGCTAAGGCTTACTTGAAGCCCAAATCTGGCAAACAGAACCGGACTGCCCAAATGCCATTATTCCACGCAGTATGTGGGCCGGAGCAAGGTGTTGGATCTGGGCCAGAATTAAAATAAATGTGGCCCAGATTTGGGCCAGTTCTACTTTATTTTATTTATTTATTGTCATGGCTGACATGCGGCCTTCCTATGGCTTGCCTGTGGCCCAAATTTGGCTAACAGGAGTGGATGGCACAAATGCCATCATTCTACATAGTATGTGGGCCAGAACAAGGTGTTAGATCTGGGCCAGAATTAAAATAAATGTGGCCCAGATTTGGGCCAGTTCTACTTTATTTTATTTATTTATATTCATGGCTGACATGCGGCCTACCTATGGCTTGCTTGTAGCCCAAATGTGGCAAACAGGAGCGGACCACCTAAGTGCCATAATTCTTCACAGTATGTGGGCCGGAGTCAGAGCCAGCACAGCACTGATGAGGGGGCGACTGAGGCAGTGAAAGGGGGCAATGACGTAGCACAAAGTAAAAAAAATAAAATAAATATGTGGCCCATTCACATATTTGTCGGACCGTAAACAAACCTGCCCGCTACTATTAGAATACTGGGTTCACACAGATAGTGTTTTAATCACGAGAAAGGTCAGTCAGTTTATTTATTTTATTTTTTAAACCGCAAGGTCTAGAGACGTGTTTTTAGAAGCGGAATTTCTTTGAACTTGAGCGCCGTGTTTTAGAATGATGTATTATGCGCGACAAGCTGCTATAAAGACCTGAGACGAGCGCAGCATTCAAACACAAATTCAAAGTCGTCCGTAGTGCATTTAGTTTGAAATACAATGGAAAAGTACCGCAGTGGAATGAAAAATGCGATGTGAGTGAATGATCCTACTAAAAGGTACTTAGCAAATACAGATGGCAGAGTAGCTATTGAATAAAACAAAATCACACAGGCAACAAATTTGAAAATCTGACATCCAGGAAATAATATGTCTTAGGCAGCAGTTTTACCACAAATACAGACAAGTGATACCACCAGAAATACTTAATTGTGTCTGGCTGCTTTACAATGAAACAAGCTTATTGCGACCGATTCCCTGACATAACACATTCATTGCGACCCATTTAACAGATGCATCATTTTAAGATAAAACAACTTGAACAGCAACAAACAATAACAATGCAGCAAAATAATCAACTAACTACGACCATCTAGCCCTCTATTAAACATTAAAGAGTTATTTCATCATACCTTTAGCTTACTCAGTAGTGCTGCATTCTTAGTTGAACCGCTTGAGCGGGAAGTTTGTGTGTCAGATGTAACAATTAAAATGTGACTTTGTGAAACGGACTGTCCTAAATTGTTGCTATAGTAGCATCATATTAATGCTAGAAAGCCTATGCATTTGGCAAAAATTTGACAGACAATGGGCCTTCCTTTGGCTTGCTTGTGGCCCAAGTCTGGCAAACAGGAGCCTAACTGTCTAAGTGCCATCATTCCACGTGGTATGTGGGCCAGATCTGGGCCTCAGGAATTTTGCTATCTGGGATGACATGTTAATCACTTTAATTTAAATCATACTTAAAGAAATATTTTATTTTGCATATCCATGAAATAAAAAAATATATATAATAGGTATTTTATTGTTTAAAAAGTTTCAAATTCCAAAACATAAGCATTATTGTCTTAGAAGTCAATTACTCTCATTTTAATAGCAAACCAGTATATTTATTGAAAAAGTAAATGTTTAAAATTAAAAAATTTAGAAATTATATTAAGGTATAATTCCTTATTTAAAATTAATCTGAGTTTATGATTACTTAAAATTTGAGACTTCTCACATTTAAAATGGTACAGCAATCAGAATCATTAGTAATGTGAATGCCATTTTCACAATAACCACTATGTTTTTTTTCCCTCGCTCGCAGTGTCAAGTCCATTCTTCTAAATAGAAATAAAGCACTTTAAGTGTAACTGTGAAGGATTTTTAATTATGTTCTTTAAATGTACATTTATGTAAGCCCAGATTGTGTGATACTGCTAAACCCAAATTTCTCATATGAAAAAATAAACCTTTTTTATCCTTGTTCTGTGCCTGTACATATTGCTTTTATTTCTTTCTGTTTCAAATCCTCTTTGCTTCTCTTGAGGTCTTTGTTTCCAGTGCTTGCTTGGTTTACTGAGAAAACAATATATTGTGACAATGTTCATTATTAAGCAATAATGAAGTAACAAGGCCGCCATGTCAAGTTAAAAGTGAGGACGATCAATAACCGTCGTCTTCATGTTGGATCCATATCCAATCCATATTAGCTGCTCCCACAAGGATTTGCAACTCGGCCGGTGAAGATCAAGGCATTGATGCTGGATTCACGGATAAGCAGAAGGAAGGGTCGGTCCGCAACAAAATTCTCCCGGTAGATGTTTAAGGAACGTCCGGTAGCAACAACCGCTGTGGCGGCAGCAGCCTCGCTACCTTCTTCATTCACCTGAAAAATTGAAAAACCAGACCATTGGCTAAGAAAGTGTGTAATCCATCTTGGTATGCAGTTAGACTAATAATAAAAACATGGTGCTTGAGTTTGCAAACGATATTGAATGTATTTTACCTCAAGGAAGGCCTTATGGTAGGCGTTGGAGATGTACAAGTTGGGTCCGTCATTGGCAACTATCCCTAGCACAACACATGTCGTGAAAATATTATTGTACAGATTCATCAGAACTCAAGATGTCCCCCCAACAATGAACACAAATCCACACAGCAAAATTTCATCGTAATTAAGCCAAGACCTCATAGAAGTAGTCCATATGACTTGTGCTCTACATTCCTAGTCTTATGAAGCTTTTAGGTTCTACAGAAGAAAGTCGAACAACATAGCTACTTTCATACCTGGGAGACTGGCATTTTCTGGACTAAAAAGATGGTCAAGGCCCATTTTCATCAGCTGCTCTTTGAGGCTAAAGTTGTCCTCGATACGGAAACGAGGAAGCTGCACGAACACTGTGGTCTCTTTCATGGCTTGTAACCAACCCTCAAGTTTCTTGAGATTCATGTTTTCCACCACC